CTTGCACTTTCAACATGCGTGTACGTGTCATTAAAGCAAAAGGAGCCTTACTAAATTGAAATGGTCATTCTAGCCATAAGATTACCATGCGCAAGGCAAATTGAAGGATGTAATAACAATAACAAAACCTGATTTAAGCCAAAAAATGGGCAAAAAATCATGTTGAGGGTCACTTGGAAAAGTGGGTTCATATCTGCCTTTTTGTCCTTAGGTAAAATGAGTCCCGTCTGATGTGATTTACCGGTAGTGCTTCATCCACCATGATAAGGCCTTTTGAAATCAGCAGCTAGAAGAGCGTCTCTCTTTAGAGCTAGAGGGGACTTTTGATCACCTGTGAAAATAAAAAATCAAGGTCTGATGGAATGGCAGGGGCAGCTATTGGGGTGGGTGTGGGGAATCAAGCAATTTTCAGATCACTTTTGAAATACACCTAGAGGCCAGGAGATCATCTACAATGCTGCTTCCCACCTTTTAAGCTTGGTTGTTTAGTTCCCATCCCAAGCATGGGAAGTTTTCCTGGGAAGGGAAGATGTCTTTTCACCAGGACTAAGGATGCAAACCCTGCTTAACTCTACTGGAATTAAGCCCTCTTGGCTGTTGCTGCTGCAGGAGGAGTTAATTTCAAGTTCATAAATGATCTGGAATTAGGAGCGAGCAGTGATGTGGCTAGGTTTAGAAATGAAGTCAAATTATTAAGGGTGAGTTAAACAAAAAGGGACTGTAGGGAGCTCCAAAAGGATGTATTCAAACTGGGAATACTGTTTGGAGCAAGCAAATGTAAAGCAAGGCATGTTAGACTGCAATCTAACTAGTGGTGATTGACCAGTAAAGGGATCTTGAGATTCTCATGGATAGATGGAGGAAATCATTTGCCCATTGTGCAGATTGTGAAAAAGAAGAAAAAGGAAGGGGAGGAGGAGGTAGCAAATTCCATGTTAGGTATAATTAGGAAAGGAATTGAAAATAGCACTGCCAGTATCATACTGCCTTTGTACATATTGATGGTGCAACTGGAATATTGTGTACAATTTTGATTGCCACACCTAAGAAAGGATTTTGTAGCATTGAAAAAGTGCAGCAAATGACAAATAAAATGATCCAAAGGCTGGAGCAATTCCCCTATGCGGAAAGGTTACAATATCTAGGTCAGTTTAGCTCAAAGGAGACATGAGGAGAGGTACAGGACATTATGCATGGTCTGGAGAAAATATATAAGTAGATAGTTTCTCTCTGTTTCATAATACTAGAGCCCAGGGTCACCCTGTGAAGCTGTTTGGTGGGAGAGTCAGAACAGATCAAATGTAGCACTTCTTCATAGAGCACATAGTTAAACCATGGAGTTTATTTCCATAAGATGGAGTGATGGCCACCAATTTGGATGGTTTTGAAAGGGGATTAAACAGATTCATGGATAAGGCTATCAATGAGTACTTGCTATTTGGCTATATGCCACCTTTAGTATCAGAGACAATACAGCTATGTATACCACTTGCTGGGGAACATGGGTGGGAGGGTTAGTTGTTCATGGCCTATTAGGGGATCCCATGGGCAATGATTTGACCACTGTGTGAACAGAATGCTGGACTAGATGGATCCTTGGTGTGCTCCGATGTGACACGTCTTACGTTCCTTTGTATGTAGGCAGCAAGGACTGAGCAATATAGTCAGCAAGCTCAGATGGTATAGCTGCTAGTGGATGGAAGTGGTACATGTGGGCGATGGAAAGTCTGAGTAACAGCTCATGGTTGGCTGGCTAGTTTTAAACCAACTACGGTGAGGAACACCCCTCTCTCTGCCATTCTAGTTTTACAGGTACAACATTGCAGGCCCTCCTGCACGGGAGGTTTAGAAGGCGGCAATAAAGGGAACTGCCTTCTTGGTGTAAAATGTTCTCCTCGCCATCTGAGGTCCTTCTGACACCAACATGCTGGGGACTTTCTTCTACTGACAGGCACTTGGCAGCATACAAGGAGGTGCTTTAGCTTTGTTGTTGTTGCAACTTGGTTTTAAACTCTTTTAAATTTTTGAATGTTATGGTTTTATAGTTACATTTTTTCATGCTGTGAACCACCCAGAGCACTTTGGCTACTGGGAAGGATACATAATGAATGATGTCATCTGATGGGCAACTTGTGGCTCTCCATATGTTTCTGCCTGCAACTCACATCACTCCTCACTGTTGGTTATGCCAGCTAGAGCTGATTGGAGTTGTAGACTGAAACATCTGAAGGACCAGTGAGCAAGTTGCGAAACCTTCCATGTGGAGGAATCAAAGCTCCGGCAGTCTCCTTCCATTAACCATGCAGGTGGCTAAGGGGCTAGAAGGGCTGTCAGGCTCTTAGTGCCTGAGGTCTATGGGAATCTGATGTGCTGAGTCAAACAATCCCTGAAACAAGTGCTAGGCAGTCACTCTTTGGAAAGCTACGGCCATCTTTTGTACGGTTCTCTGTTTGCATCTGAGGGAGGGGCACGTGCATCCAAAGCTTTAGCTGCACAATTAATGTCCGCCCCTTTGTGTTTGTATTCTTAGTTCCTTTCTTTCCATGTTTCATCTCTTCTGGCAGAGGATCCATTAGCTTTAGCTTCACCTAGTCTAACTGACAGGCAGCTTTGTTCTTTTCTTCAAACTTTCTTCGCCCCTCGTCTCTTTGGCCTTTCCATTAGGGTTTGACACAAACATTTGAACACTTTCTTAAGTAATTTCCCATCCCTTTTGTCTCTCTCCCTCCACCCCACACCTCAAATAGGCACATCAGGATATTGGGAGACAAGGCCGGCAACTCAGAATTGTCAGTTCCTGACCCTGCATCATGGAACAAGGGGAAAATAGGCTCGCCAGATGCCAAGGAGAATAGTGATCCTAAAACTTTAATGGCTGGGCAGGTGGAAATTTGACCAGGTGCAGCTTTGCTTATCCCAGCATAATAAATTGCATCAGCCAAAATTCGTTGTTGTGTGCAGTGGATAAAATTAGTCCAAGAGTCCTCTTCACTGGTTGTCCTATGAATAAACTGAGTCAAATGTCATTGCTTTTATTCTCTCTTTCCTCGCTATTTCTGTTCTGTTGGGTGGGGGATGAGAAGTGTATTGAATTCCACCCAATGTTAGCATAACCGAATTTCTATTTATTTCAGTGGATGTACTCTAAGTAGGGTTGAATGGGGTGAAATATTCTATGGATTCTGGGATTTTAAATGTCAGGTTCATTTGCTGCCATATATGGCTGAAGCTGTGATCCTTTTTTTGTTTGTTTGTTTTGGGGAGAACAGCAACCTGATCCATGACCCACTGAAGCATGGATTTAAGAAAATGTGCAACACATCTGACTAACCAATCAAGACTATTTTCCTCCAAGCAACTCGATCTCACTGATCCTTTCCCAGTTCTTTCCCCTTCATGCTCCTAAAAAAGAGAGGGCACCAGAGAGTGTCCCAAATACCTTTAGAGACTTGCTTTATTATCTTCAGCCGTGCACAAGTGCCATGAGATTTACATAATTTCCCCTTCTGTTTTGCTCTTCTACCATGAGATTTGTGCAATTTCCTTTCCTTTCACTGTTCTGCCATGAGATGTGCACAATTTCTACCTCTGTGTTGCTGCTTTCCCATGGTACCTCGGCACACCTCGGCTCACAAACGCCTCAGTTCACGACCAAATCGGATCGGAAACAGAAATTTCAGCAAAAAAAATGCCCCAGGTCACGAACTCCGCATTGGGTGACGATTGCGATTCCCTGCATGGGCATGATCGCAATCATGCTGGGGGGGGCGGGGGGGGGGAGATGGCCACGATGTAAAGAATAATCCTTGTCACTTTGCTTCAAATTTTTGTGATTAAAAAAATATAGTTACAGAATGGATTAACCTTATTTACATTGAACCTCATGGGGAAAGTTGACTTGGCTCATGACCAATTTGGGTCGTGACCAAAGTCGTGGAATGGATTAAGTTCGTGAGCCGAGGGACCACTGTATTTGCGTAAGTGCCACAATCCTGTGCACTGCTCTGTAACCCCTGGTTATATGCAATGGCTAGCAACAGGAGGAGGCGACATAAACAAAACGGTGGGAGGCAGCTGAAAGCAGCCTGCAGCTGCAGGAGCGAAGGCACTTCAGGGGCAGGGGTTCTTATTTTAGTGTAATGTGAAATAGCTTTTTTTTCTTTTAAAAATAAAACTGGATGACATTGACAAGATGGGGATGTTGGTACTTTGCAAAATAGTGGATGGGGGGTCGTGCATTGTTGCACATGAATGCAAGACGCTGACACAAGACCATGAAACCCACGTCTTGTTCTCACGGTGACTTAGCATGACATCCAAACCTCTTCATTGCCCCGATGCAAAAGCAACAGTGAGAAGACTGTGGTGGATATGGACATAAAGTAGTAGATAGCAGAATGGAAGGAGTGCTCGTTCAGAGAATGGTGATTAACCCTTCCTCCATATGCTGCTTTTTCACTTGCCTCTCACCTGCTTTTACCTCTCACCAGCAGAGTAGGCAAGGTAGCGTGCAGTTCCATCCTTAATGGTGCAATAAAATGCATGGGTCTAATTGATTCAACATGCTCACATGGTATGTATTCTCTCAGTGCATGACCGTGTGCCCTGCTACCATCACTTCCTGATTCCAAGCCCCATCCTCAAAGCTGAAAATCCAAGTCCTTCGTCCCCTAGGCTCTGTGTAGTGGCCATAAGATTTCTCCGAGGGGGTTTCTTGAGCAAGATCCTTTTTCGCATCTTAGACCATGGGTAGGCAACTTGTGACCCACTGGACATTTGGCCTACAATGCCCATCAGACCTTGCCCAGTACAGCCATTGTCAGCAGACTGAATGATGGGCAAAAGCGGTGGAGCTGATAAGAGAAGGAGGCGCGAATGGGAGCGCCAGCCCCTCTCTGACGGGGAAGACCAGGGAGCTGTTCCACAAGGACTACATCGCCCAGCGTGCTCTTGTCAGCCCGTTGGCCCGGAAGAGACCCCCTTGGCGCGTGCGCACTGCTAGTCTCCCGGCGGCCGGATTGCTCTGAGCACCGTGGATCTCGCCACCTGCTCAAAGGCCGTCTTCGTCCGCGCACTTGCCGCCAGCCCCGCCGGGTACGGGCAGCGCGCGACGGCCTCGCGCTCAGCCTCCTCTCACTCCCCTCGCAGCGGAATAGCTCGCGCGCCCCCGACCCTCTCTTTCCCCAGCGGAGCCGGGCGACGGCGCGGCCATGGCGGACACGGCGCAGAATGGGCCCATGCAGGGAGGCGCGGGCGGCGGAGCCGTGGTGAGTGAGTGAGTGAGTGAGTGAGTGAGTGAGTGAGTGAGTGGCGGGCTGGGAGGGAGGGAGGCAGGCAGCCGGCGAACATCCCGGCCTAGCCGTACGCCTCACCTTCCACACACTCCACCGCTGATAGGGCGACACTGAGCTTAAAGGTCTGTCTGCACAACGCGTGTTAAACCGGGTTCGGCCCTCTTCCGTTCTGATGGCCTCCCGGCCCTCTGCGTTATACGGGGTAAGGCCCTAGTGGGAAAGCGGCTGTAATTTAAACAGGCTTGAAGAGAAGCTCAGCGAGTAGCCTCTTCTTTTCCATCGCCATTCTTCTGTGCAGCATTAGTAGGGGCCCCCAGTCCTGTTTTTGGAGCCACGGTGGTGTTTCTGAGCAGTTGAGGGGCTTTCTGAGTCACGCATCCTCTCCTCCAGTAAATCTACGATTAAGACGTGGAAAGGGAATTGATCAGTAATAGTATTCGAGAGTCCCTGTTCTTCATTATCACTAAAGGCATCAGAGGCCTACCTGTCATTGCATATGATTTCCCTTAGTAGGTTCAACTTCCTCTTTTTAAAAGGAATTTTGCTTGTTACAACCCTTCCGCCCTCTCTGTAATTTATTCCTTTTTAAACTTTTTGTTGTTTCTTCTGCCATTAGTAAAAGTTTGCGATATAGGAGGAAAGAGCCAGCTGCCTGCATTTGAAAGTTTTTGAGCTGTATGTTGTTTATTAAACAGAAATTTGTATGACTACAGGGCACATGGGAAGCTGCCTTATACCAAATCATGGCATTTATCTAGTTCAGTGCACTGACTGGCAGAGGATCTTTAGGGTTTCATACCAGGGTCATTTCCTGCCCTGCCAGGAACGCCTGGAATGGAAGCTGGGACCCTTTGCATGCAAAGTGTGTGCCATTAAACCATGCCATCTTCTCAGAGTGGTTGTTCTAGTTCAAAAAATGCATTTGTGGATGTATTTCCACTTATTAAGTAACCCCAAATATGTTGTTAATTATATTTGTGTACCGCCTGTAGCTGAAGCTCTCTAGGCGGTTCACAACATTTAAGTCATCCATCCAGATTTCAACCAGGTCTCACCCAGCTTAGCTTCCAAGATTAGGCAAGATCAGGCACATCAGGCTATATGAAAGCATTACTTTCTTGTAAGTAGAAGGGAATGTAGAAAACTTGTTCTCCTGTACCAAGATATAACATTACTTTACACTCTGTGCAGATAACAGTGGTGGGGGCAATTGAGAGATGGTATTTTGAATGGGTTTGCAGTACACTGCTGTTTGGGTTTCTGTTGGGGGTTAGTTTCATGTATTAGCATCTGGATGCATTCTCACAGCAAAGTATCAGTCACATTTACTCTGAATTATATATTGTTGACTATAGACTCTAAGGCTCCCTTCATGTGTTCTTTGGATTTCAGGCTCATTTCCCCAAAGCAACACTCGGGGAGTGTTTGTTCCTTGTTGATTAAATAATGGAGCATATGCTGCTGCTATTTTGAATATTCAGCCCCTACTCAGGACTTGTGGACCTGATGAGCCTTATGTGAGGGTTAAACAATCCTCACATAACACAGTGTCTGTTTTAACACTCATATTACCCATTCTTGCCAGGTTTGCATATCACAACAACCCGAGTGGAGGTTGTCTGTTCATTCTGGTGCCTGTAGGTGCTATAGCTCATTGTGGCTTAAATAACCCACATGTGTTGTCAAAACCCAATCTTAACTCTGTGTCAGTGGCACTGCACCTGCTTCCATACACACGTGTTGGCTAATGAATGCATCTAGAAGTTGCTAAGTGTGTTGTGAAGAAAGGTAGGATGCTGGCCAGGTAACAGTAAGTCTCTTGGCATTATTTTCTGTGTGTTGTCTGTATGGGTGCAACTTTGACTTGTCAAAAGCCAGATTTATCCTACTGTATTTAGTTTAGAGGCAGGCAGGCCCTTTGGCAAAATCCCCAGGTAGCTACAGTTTCTGCTTAGACAGAATTTGATGTCAGTGGCAATGGCTGCACCTCTTAATATGCCATCACTGAATGAGGTGATGCCCATGATGTCATCTGTCCTGGGGTGGAGTGGGAGTTGTAGACTGGCCTACCATCTGCATCCATAACTTATGTTGAGTGCTTGTTGGAAACCACATTGCTCAAGCAACAGGTATTAAGCATAAACCTTTCATTAAAAGTCTCATAACTGTTTCAGATAAAAACACAACGGTGTGGATTTTGCCTCTTAGTTATCCACTTAAACATGTATGCATTTTACAGGCATATAAAAAGCTCATTTTGGTTTTCAGTAAATGTAATTCATTTTAATGGGTCTTCTATTATCAATGGGTTATGGGCATTTGGGTATTTGTACTTCAACAGTATGAAGCATTTTGAAGCTAACTTCTTTTCCTTTCATTATAGCAATTTCTGATGACTAATAAGTTGGACACAGCAATGTGGCTTTCTCGTATATTCACAGTTTACTGTTCGGCGTTATTTGTCCTGCCTCTGCTAGGGTATGTATGTATGTATCTTTTTAAAAGCAGTGATGCCCCAATATCTTGATCCTTTGAAATGATACTACATTGCTTGAGAATATAGTAGAACAGAAAGCATGCGTAGTATCAGAAAGCTTGGTGCTATCATTTTATAGTATATCACATATACAAGCTCTGGGTTAAGTACTTGTCTGTCCTTTTGATTTTAGTGGGAGAGATGAAAGCATGTCTTTAAGCTTCCTTCTGAAATCTGTGGGATGTACAAGTATGGTTGCACCTTGGCTTATATTCTAGAAATATTACTACTTATATTTCATGATGGTAAATAATTTATTCTGTGCTTGTTCTGTAATCTGTACATAATACCCACCAAGCTCAAATGTGTGTAGATTGTTCATGTTTCGACATGTAACCTCATATAAAGTTGTTTGCAGTGTTAGATTTCCATGGCTCTTTTTTCCTCTCCAGAGAAGCAACACATAGATTGGTGTGTGTTACCATTGTTTCATAACTATTTCCTCCCACACCCACTAGACCTGTGGTGTAAAGTGCCAAGTGCAAGACATACTATGGAGAATGAGTCACAGTCATATTTTGGCTCTTGCTAGCAAGGAGGGCTTGAGAATCAGAGCAGTGATGATGCAATACTCATGGGAGAAGGCCCTGAAGCTATGGCTTGGTTTGTATGGTAACATCTCCTTTGACGATTCCAGGTTGCACGAAGCAGCCAGCTTTTATCAACGTGCCTTGCTGGCAAATGCTCTTACCAGCGCTCTTCGGCTTCATCAAAGGCTGCCACACTTTCAGTTAAGCAGGGCGTTTCTGGCTCAGGCCTTGCTGGAGGACAGCTGTCACTACCTTTTGTATTCCCTCATCTTTGTTAATTCCTACCCTGTTACAAGTATCCTTTATCGAAGTCTTTTCTGCAAAAGTGTTATATTTCCTAAGTAATTTCATGGTATTGTTGTAGCACTTAGGATTTTAGACTTCGGTCATGTGAGATTCCTGGTACAAATCCTTGGTTAACTGCAAAGCTGACAGAGTGCTGCTGAGCCATTTGCTGTAACACTCTGTAACACTTACAGGGTTGTTGTGAGGTTAAAAGGGGAAATGACTATGTTTCCCTCCTCCCTTGGACTGAGGAAAAAATATAATAAATTACTCATGTCTTTTGAGTACTGCATAACCTAATGATTCAAGCATTTCCCAAAATGAACAACACATTCTCAACTCTGCAGGTTCAATTAAGGGTTAAATTTGGTGAGATGGTAGGTCACATCCCCCTCCCCATGTTTGCTTCTTCACTTATACCTGCTCCCTCTCACATTTCTTCCTTGTGTGCTTCTTTTGCTGCTAAATATTAAAATCCCACTCTGTTCTAGCTTGATTTGTGAATGGGTTGATGAATTATAGCCTCATCCTATCTAGTTTGGTCCTAAGATTGTCACTGTTTGTTTGTTGCAAACACCTTCTTCATTCTTTGTAGATGTGCTTTATCAGACTCAAATTATCCTGATAATTTGAACTGATTTAAACTACATCTCTAGTGTATATAAATACACCTCAGCTGCTAGAGATCTACAGTTATATAACTGCGTACAGCAAAATTTCAATTCTGACATATATTTATCTGGGAAATATACTGGGTATATTAACATTATTAATAAAGTAGCCTAGCTTCAAATTCCTGATTGGAATGGCTCTGCTTCGAAAAACACTTTCAATAAAAAAAAAGTTCCTCAGATGACACACTTATGATATTATTAAAAAATGAAGACCACTGGCTAGCATTCCAGCATCATAGATGGGAGAGATCTAGAATATTCAGCTTATGGGATAAGTGTGGGCTAAGTGGTATGCTGTGTTGTAATTTTCCTTAATGTTCTCTTCAGTGAGTATCTTCCCAGTTCTGTTGTTTTCTTTGCTTCATGCTGCTACCTACACAAAAAAGGTTCTTGATGTAAGTAATTGCATGCTAAGGGCGTATACTCCATATGTCATGCCAGCTCAGTCCTGCTAATGGAGGTCATGATACAGATGTGACAAATGCTGGATTGGGCAGGTGTGAGTGGGGATTTTGGTTATTTTCGGAGATGGCTAGAGTGGAAGGCTGGGGGCTTGCTCCTGAAGCTTGTTGCATCATGGGGAAGTGAATAGGGCAGGAAAGAAAAGGCAGTGGGAACTGGCATTGTGTGGGTTGATCTAGCACTAATGAAATGTAGGTTCAACTTCCCAGTCAGCACTGAAGCTCTCTGGATGACCTTGAGCCGATCACTGTCACTCAGATCTTAGTGATTTTGGTGGAAACATTTTTATGGTGCTTTTGGCACTCTGGAGCACTGAAAGTGTCACATTTCGCTAGTCCTGAAGCTAAATCTGATTCTTTTAATGCTAGATAGCCACTACATAGTACTAAAATATTCAGATTTAAGCTTTGGAGAGCTATGGAATGACTTATTGCTGAATTTTGGTGGTAAATTGCCAGTTTCCCTCTTCAGTGCCCCACAGAGAGTGTTCCATGTGAGTTATACCTCCTGGACTTCCTGAAGTTGCTCATCCCTGACTTGGCAAAACCTGACCAACAGGATTGTTAGCTGGCAGGTAGAAATGAAAGTGGAATGTTGCAAGCAGTACAGGGGTATATCAGAGCTGTGTGAGAGGGAATGTGTGCTTTTCCAGATCTCCCATTCACTTCATGGGGGCCTGTGCCAAAAGTGTTCCTAATGGTCTGTAATTCTGATGGATGTGTGGAACATGAAGCAAACTTTTAAATGATCAAAATGCAGTTCCTGTCTTCTGTTTCCTTGACTAATGTAGACCTCAAAGCCGTTGGTAGATACTTCATTTCATTGGCCATCCAATGGTCATTGGAATTAATGGGATCACATGCCTCAGTTTTGAATCTTGATCCCCAAAATCAGCTCTTTCCCTGAAGCCAGCCACGTAAATGCACAGTAGTTATTAGCCTCCCAGAAACCAGTGCAACTTGTTCCATGGAGGAAGAAAGTGCAGGCTACTGGCCTCTCAGCAGGCTAGGTTAAAATTGCCTTTTACCAAGTGGATAGTGGTAGGAGAACAGGACAGTCAGACCAGCGCTGGTTGTGGAGGAAGGGGCTTTCCTTCCTCTGTGGCTAGCATGGAGGTTAAGTGGACCGGTAAGGAGAACCAGATCACACCACCCTTCTTCCACTGGCCTACCTCTTTTCCATGCCAGAAAGCCCTTTTCACTACAGCTACCATTCTCCACGAGCCTGCAGGCAGCTTTTTTTCCTGCCTATGGCTTCTAGGAGAGTTGTTAGATGCCAGGCTGCCTTAAACTTAAGCAAATGCAAAACATGGAAGTTTCTTCTTTGTGTAATCCTGAGGAATGATTCACATATTAGTCAGTGCTAAACATGTTCTGCTGTCAGAAGTGAGTTCTAGTGCAACAAGGAACTAAGCGTTGCAGGCACAGCCCTGGCAACTTGCCTAAGTAGTGCTTCCAGAATGGGACAGATCAGCTTTGGTCTTCTGGCTTGTCACATTCCAGAAGCACTAGTTTGGGCTAGTTTCTGGCTGTACTAGAAGGTCCTAGTTCCCCATTGTGCCTGCATTCATTTCCATTAGTCCTGTGACACCATTGGATACTGCTTTATGTTTTTAATTTGCCTGTACACCACCCAGCGAATGCTAGCTATTGGGCAGTCTAGAAGGGCAATATAGAAAACAAACATTAAAATACTCAAGGGAGCCCTTGAAAAGTCGTATATAAAGCAGCTTCGAGTCACTTAAAATCCTTGTTATTCACATTGAATACTGTAGTTTTTTTAATGGATATCAAATATAATTTATCTATTTGAAACATTTTAAAGTAATTTTCCATAATGTTCTTTAAATTTGAGATTATAGGTATGTGGCAATTACCTTTCAGGTATATAAATAGCATTGTTCAAAATATCTTCATGGCATGACTTGGTTTTGTAATAATTTATTAAGAGTTGCTATTTTTCCTGACATTGCATTTCCCCCACCCATTTCTTTTTAAGGCACGAGGATCAAATAGCCTTCCTTTTCTAAGGAATCTTTTGGATAAGTTAAATGCTAATCAGCAAAATATCCTAAAATTTGTAGCCTGCAATGAAATCTTCTTGATGCCAGCTACTGTGTTTATGCTTTTCAGGTATGAGATCGCATGTTAACTCTTTATTATTGTTCTTCTAAAGCTGTTACAGAACACCACTAGACTACAGAAATATGGGGAACCAACTTTACAAACTGAAAACTAAGGCTCAAGGCTGAGTTTTAAGTTGTAAAGTGTTTGCTGGTTGACTATCTAAGCACAGTTTCTGTGAGCCTAAGCTGGAAGATCTATGTGGTCTGCATTTGGAGAAACTTGATTTTCAAGTGCTTAACAACTCAGATTCAGTTATCCACAAGATTTTAAGGGATTGGATTTTAAGGGAGCATTGTATTTGTATTTGTGTATTGTGTTAATTGTGTTTCTAAGCTGCCTTGGACACTGATAAAATCTTCCCACCCATATTAAATGGTTGGGAAAGAATCCCTGTATGCAGTATGTTATTTCAGTAAAACTCACCAAATCAATTTAGACTTAAATGTGCCTTGTTTTAACAGGTGTAGCAGCTAATGGAATCAAGTAGAAGAGACCTATTTTTCGTGAATAGCTGCATGTTGTCTAAATGCATATTTATAAAAGCTTATTTGATTATTCATATACTACTGTAGTGATAATTCTCAGTGCTGCTTCTGAGGGAATACCATGAGAATTTTGCAGTTCTCATGTTAATATAATTTTAAAAACTTCTCTTAAGCTAGAAGAATTACTGTCCCTTCTAGGAGAGGGTGTGGGGAGAAGAGTGGACGTTGTTAATGTTGGTGTGATGGGGATAGGATTCAGATCACACACTTGCGCACATGTGAGTGATTGAACTAAACTACAGGAGCATTTCATTTCATTTGGATGAGATGACTCTTTGCTACTTTGATGACTTTTAATATTTCAGCCATTTTGGCAGGTGATCCATATTTAATGACTAGCTACTATGCATTTGTCCACTCTTCACTCTGCGTGTGCATGTGAGAGAGAGAGGAAGAAATACAATGTTAAAACATTTAGATGTAAGATATTTTGCAGGTTCAAAGCGATTACTGTGTAATGAAATCTAAAGGTGATGACTCACTATAAATCTGTCCTCTCTACCCACTATCTCCACCCCCTTTTGTTCTTTTCAGTGGGCAGGGAAGTTTGCTGCAGCCTTTCATTTATTACAGGTTTCTTACACTCCGTTATTCTTCACGCCGAAATCCATATTGCCGGTAAGATGTCAATTCAGATCATCCTATATTCATATAATGTTGTTGAAACTAGAAATGTGCAACTCAGACAACTGTTGCTGTGCCACGAACAACGAACAGCACTAACTTGGCTTTTGTATCCATATGAAAATAAAAATGGTTCTCCAAGTTGCTTTCATAGTTTCTTGAAATGCATCAGGAGAATAAGCAAAAGTAAATGCAGAGGAGGACCGTAGTTCAGTAACAGAGCAGTTGCTCAGCATGCCAAGGGCCCTCACTTTGGTCCTTGGAATTTCTGGTTTACAGGGCAATTTGGACCAGTGGTCTTACACTGCAGTCTGGCTGCCAGAGTAGCATCTTGGTACTGAGTAAAGGTCTCATCTTATGGAGAAATACATCCCTTATAGCATGCAGAATTCTTGCATTTTATAAGATGTTGCATAGGAAAGGTGGGATCTGCAACCAAATGTTACAGCTGTCCTCACCTTCTGTCTTCTGTGTTTTCCAAGTTTTCCATTCTAATTTCATGGCAACTGAACATGCTCAGCTGTTGGGTTTTTACGAGCTTTCCCTTTTAGGTTGCTTTTTACAATTCTATTTTTGGTACTTGTGCAAAATTCTGGTTTCCTGCAAGCACGCATATTTTCAGTGGCGCTGTTTGAGGTCAATACTCACTACTTGAGTTTCCATTGTAATAGGAGTAGTCAGAGGTTGCCAGTGCAAATACACTTGAATGCATGCCGGGCAGCATACTAAGAAGTAAGTCCATTGAATTCAATGGTGCTTTTTCCTACACATAGGTGCCTTGGATTGCAGCCTTATTCTTTTAACTTACCTTAACAGATATTTTAATCAGGGTTTTCAAGTAAGGTATAGTAGCTACTGCTGTAATGTAAACCTGTTTATGAAAACAACCCCCTTTGTCTTTTTCAGAACTCTCTTCACAGAGCTGCGGATTGTTGTTGAGCATGTCATAATGAAGCCGTCATGCCCTGTATTTGTACGAAGACTCTGTGTCAGCAGCATTTCATTTATCAGCAGACTGGCACCAACCGTTGCATAGCCCAAATTGGAAAAATGCATCTGTGTGTTTAATGAACATTTTGAGCAGCTGGTATTTCTGCTGATGATTTATAAATTCAGGATCTCAGTCAAGGTTGTATGAAAAAAAAAAATGTTGTTTTCTTCCAAGAGCCTGTTTTGTGACTTGTATTCTATGTGTTTAAAAGAAAAGTCTTGTTTTTCAACATGTTTCTGTGCTTGTGGAAGATGAATGCCTGCCACCTTAGAGAAATTACTTTTCAAGTCAAAAAATAACTTGCAATATGGCTTATGTGCTGTTATGTTTGCTCTCATCAATTCCGAATGAAAATACTTATTTAAAAATGTTCAGGCAATGCTAGCTGGATTGTGTCTAACAAGCTATAAAGATGTTGCTGCAGCATAGTTGGTAGCCTCTTAGGAGTAGCAATTGGACTATCTACATATGCGGTACATTTGAGTCAGTATTCCTTCCATGCAGTAAATGAAAGCATTTCATTCAATTGAGAAAATCATTATATCCAATACAAATCAGTTGGCATCTGCTCAATGTGAACAATAGGCAAAAACATCTCATTTTGTTCTGATTTATTTAATGATTTTGAGATGGAAAGCTCTCCACCATTTCTGAGATGTTTATTTCTTTGTAAATATTTTTCTAAATCATCTGAATGCCCTACTATTTTTGCTGTCGTCCAAAAGCACGGACTCTTAATATGCCAATCTTTGAAGATTCTGAATAATAAAGACAGATGTTACAGTTATTTCCAAGACAAACTGAAGTGTCATTGCCTACATTTCATATAGCTACTTTACTTCAGTGTAACTCCCACACTCTTGAAATGATTTCTGCCACAATACTAGGCCCGTTTATAGATGTACATTAAGTTGAAATCAAAAGGGCTCACTTCTAGGTAATTAGCACAAGAATTTCCTATGCAGATACAACCCCTGAGTACTGGAGGTGTCCCTGTCAGGGTTTACAAATCCTGTTCCCCTTTCAGCATGTGAAATGTGTGCTCAGGAGCTGCCCTAGACCATAATAGGAATGAGTATGTGCCTCCTTGCCTGATGTGGGGGTGGGCTCTGCTGAATCCTATGGGATTCTTCCCTTCATCTGCACAGGGAAGGATCCTGCCCATTGTATTTAGAATACAGTGGGATACTGTGTAAAACAAAGGTGGGCAGAAAGGTTGACCTCCAGGTGTTTTGGACTTCAACTCCCAGAAGCCTATGCCAGCATGGCCAGCTGGGATATGAAGTTCAAAACCTCTGTAGGTCTGTTTTCTGCCCAGCCTTAGTGTATAGTAATGCTTTAGCAGTTACCACCTGCAGAAGTAGTGATTGAAGTAAAGATGCAATTACTGAAGCATGGACATCATCTTCTGAGGTAGAGGCTTGATAATATGAAGGTCTACCTATTTGCAATGACCTTTTGATTAGTATTGATAGAAACCCTTCATCTGAAAATGGCTCTGATTGCTGCCCAATGTTTTGTTTGCTTTCTCTGTTTTAAAAAAGGACCAGTCTAAATGAACAGCTTATCACTTAGTGAAATGCTTTCTGGACTTCAGGCTGCAGTGGGTGCAAACAGGCTGCATCTTTAAATATTCCTTCCTGTGCTTTCCTCCCCTTTCTTACATGCACACTTGTAAAAACTGAGTTTATTTGTGAAAAGGTTACTCAAGGGCCATTCTTTTTTTTCTACTTTTGGGAGCATAGTTACGTGCTTTCTCTCAATTGTAGACTAAACTAGTATGATCAAGGAATGATTTAATCCCAAGCCATTTGTGTGTATTAGGCCTGAATCACAGATTCATTGAATATACCTCTTAGACTATCATCTGTTCATAAGAAATCATTGGAAGCATGTTGCTCAGATGATGGCTTAACTGACTGTGAACCTCAATGCACTTGGAGCCATATACCCCCTTCCTCCCTCCCTCCATGGGTGGGTGGGTGTAAATACCACTGACTTTCTGGGCTTTACTGTCAAGTGATTATATGTTCTGTCCCACTTGAGGGGAGGGGGAAATCCAATGAAATTGAGGGTAGCAGGAACTGAGTACCATAAGAAGGGACCACAAGCAAATATACCACTGCCTTACATACCTATGCTAGGCAGGTATGTAATTGTATATTTTGCTTCTGCTTCATTGCAGTGGAGGTAGATAATGCTGAACCTTTTGCCTAAGAAGACCAAATTCCTTCCATCTTTCAAGGACCTGCATTTTAGGATTACAGGATGACTTCCCCAGGCAATATATATGTTCATTGATTCTTCTAAGCCACTTCATAATTTAGCGTTTGATAACTTTGCATGAATTGATACGCTAAATTGTTTGGAATGATGCCACTGTTTTAAAGGAAATGTTTCTGTGTAACAATCTGATTTATTTATTTTTTGAGTGGAGTGATAGCCATTTAGATTAAACTCATTTATTAGCTTGTCAATGGCTAGTTGGGTACATTGCTTGCCAAGCCTAAAGCTACAGACAAAAGCAGTGGTTTTAAAAATTGGGATGAGATAATACTGCTTGATTATGTTCCTTTTAGCATTTTGCCTCAAACATCTATTTATGGAGAAGATGCATAGAAGAGTGCAGGAACATTTAATGAGGTTTTCCTGTAGGCTGTTTACCATGTTTTGAAAGTTTTATAAGACAAACATAATTATAGCAATGAAGTGAATGTTGTGGGTAGCCTGACATGTAATGTCTGAACCCGTTTCAGCCTCATTTGTAGCTGTAAGGACAGAATCTGATCATAGTATTGGAATTCTGAAACTGAGCATTCTGTCAGAAGAAAGGAGTGGAATAGAAGTCTCCATCCCATTCTTCTGTCCCAGGCAGTGTCTTGTCTAAGCAACAGTAAGGTTGAATCACTGTTGCTTTTAAGATCACAGCTCTAGTTGCTTTGCTCGTTTTAGAATATACATGCACATATATATGAACACTATTATTTCTCTCCCCTTCACCCCATATCTGTTAGGCTGGGGTGAAGGGGAGAGAAGGGGTGGTCTTTTCACTAGGTTGGGGAGATGGTTGGGGAAGGGGTGTTAATAAGGGAAGGTTGATACATCAGCTTCATTTAACTTAGACTATCTCCTGAGACTGGGTCAAAGCCAGTCTGCAGTCCTTCTGAAAATAAACTGTGTATCTCTTGGAGCAATGCGTCCTTGATGTGGTTTTGCATTTTGGATTTTGCAGCTAAATAACTAGTAACCAAAGATCTGCATAGGTTTCCAGCAAGGGTCTTACAGGAGCTGGGTGGAATCTTCTTTTTCTTTAAACAGTAGCCCCTTGTTCCCTATCTCAAACAGCCTTTGACACAGCTTCAAAATATGTTGAATGGCAGTGGGGGCGGCTGTTCATGCAAAACAAATCAAAAGCTTGCCCTCCTTTCTGGAAGTAGCCCTGCAATTCAATCCTAGCCCAGCCTTTCCTATACTGGTGGTTTCCAGATTCTTTGGACTCCAATTCCCATAATTGATGACTGGGACTTGCAGTACAATGCATCTGGAAAAGACTGTCCTAGGCAAATATGTTTTTCTTCAGTCTAAACATCTGTCTTTATTGGCCAAAACAGTGTATACTTCACATTAAAAATACAATTCTGCACCAGTTCTCAACAAAAAGCCAAATACACTTATCATTTATGCAAACTGAATACATTTCCATATTTCTGAAGCAGTCTTATCCAACATGGTGCCCTCCATATGATTTGCTCAACGTTCCCTAATTGTGCTGGCTAGACCCCATGAGAGTTGTAGTTGTAGTGCCCTGGTGTAGGGCACCAGGTTCGGGAAGAGGTTTGCTCTTTTCACAATTTTGGTTTTGCTAGTCAAGGGAGGAGCAAGATCAACCCTCTCCATGTCCACTGAAAAATGTGTTCAGCTGTCCCTCTGGATCCAGACCATTCCGTGAGCCATGTCCACACTTTCAGGTCTCTCTTTACAGCTATAAAAACTAGGCAGTTGCTTAAAAACAACGTGATTTCTTCCCCTGCTACCCCATTCTTCCCCTCTCAGCAACTGCAGTATAGGCACAGCCTTCCCAAGCAATGCTTGCTTTTATTACTCTGGTATTCTGCATCTCATGGATAGGGCTTTCTCAGATCTTATTTGGTGACCTTGCACTAATGTCCCTTGTGAGGAGCAGAGAATCCTCTGACAACTGCTGTATGGAGCTGTCAGTGTCCATCCTGTGCTTCTGCAACTGGAGGAGCAGAACTTAAAGAATAGAGAGTCCTAGAAAAGGGACCACGGAGAGAGTTGATTGAGTAAGTGGAGTGCAGAGAGCTTGGTTCCCTCTGCTCTCATTCTGCAGGGATGAGCCTCTGTTCTCTTCTTGCACTCACATTTTTCTCAGATTTCCTCTTAGGATCTGTCTTGGCAAAACATTAAACTGCTGATGAAACTGCCAAGTTTGAAAATGGGTTGGGGGGGATTTCTGATTCAAGGGGGTTGTAAGAACTGGATGGGGTGTTTTCTGGGTGGGCAGCTACTGAAATAAAATTACCAAGATGCTCAGGGAGATGATGCCCGTTGATGCAAGGCATCTGGCATTCAAATTCGCACTGGTATACAGTGAGCATCCAGACACCAGGCATCTGATGCTCATTCCAACTGAGATGTTGAATGTGGATGGGGACACACATCCCCATTTGTTTTCTCCACAGCCTACAGGAAAATAGGGCCCCTCAGCTTTCTTGGACATGTGTGTAATACTGCTGCTCTGTGTATGTAAGAGAGAGGTCTGTTCATCAAGGAGCTCACAATACAAATTTCTGCACAGGAAACAAAGGGAGAGTGGAAAAGGTATAAATACATGCAAGTGCAATGCAATGCACCTGAGTTTTTTCTTCAGTTATAGCAGCACCTGCCCATTCAGGTCCCAGACATGGTGAGTAGAGGCTGCAGGTGCTGGGTGCATGAGGCATGTTGGTATCCCACTTCAGCAAACTCTACGAGCCACACTAGCTACCTTTGTTTGCTGTCCAAGTTGGAGAGCCAAGCTTAATGATAGCAGATCTGATGAGTGGCTGGGACTGCATGTGAAATTCTTGGGGGACACCTAAAATGCTGGGCACAGATGGAGTGGCATGAATCCCAGAATCCAGTCCCCAAAGCAGCTGATTGGCAGGATGATCACTGCCTTAAGGTGATCTGTAAGTATGGCCCAGCTGTTGGATTTGGGACAAGGTGTCTGCATTGCTAGCACCCATTGCCTTCAGGAAGGGATGTGTACACACAAGCCTTATCCCACAGATGTGCCAGTGAATCACAGTGCCTCAGTCTGTTACGGATTTCCCAGTGTAGTATCCTTCACAGGTTTTGGACTTCAGTTCCCATCAGCCCCAGCCTGCAGGCCAATGGTCGGACAGGATGGCAGTTTCTTATTTTTTGATATTTCTAATAATTTTTCCCTTGCAAGGAACCAAGTTGGCTTACTTGGTTCTCCTTATCGCCATTTAAATTTCACAACAATCTTGTGAAGGAGGTCAGGTTGAGAGTCAGTGGCTGGCCCAAAGTCACCCAGAAACCTTCATGGCCAGATGGACACTATACTGCACATGTAGCCCAGAGCACCTGGAGGGCACTGGGTTGGAGAAAGCTTGTCTGTAGGCATATATTCTGTATTCCTAAGATTTCTGTGCAAAGAATCTTGTTTGTCCTTAGTAACAGAGCCACTGTTAGGTAGCAGATTGTCTCTGCACCCCAGGTGTCATGGGGCTGAGCATAAATTTGAAAAAAATAAATTGAAAAATTCATCATT